CGCGTTTGTAGCCGCCGTGGTTGTTGTGGCAGGTGCCCCCGTTCTGGCAGGCGTTGGGCATCAGCTGGCACTCGTCCACGTCCTCGGTGCAGTACTGACCTGCCAGTGGACAGGGCACCTGCATGAGGCTGGCACTGCCCAGCTCCTGCAGGCTCCGCGAGCATCGCTGCAAAGCAGGACGGCTCTCCCCACCTGGTACCCGGCATCCCCCGGGGGCAGGATCCATCCTCCCAGCCCAGCCCCGTGCCACCTTCGCTGCCGGGGGCGGCATTACCTGTCCACTCGGGTGGGCACTGGCAGTTGTAGGTGTTGACGCCATCCACGCAGGTGCCCCCATTCTTGCAGTTATTGCCCGGACAGTCATTGATGTTCTCCTCGCAGTTCTGGCCCGTGAACCCTGCGCAGAGGAGATGTCTGCCATGATGCTGACTGACCAACCGGTCGTGCCACTGCCTCAGCCCCCTGCCACCCCTCCGCCAATGGCAGGTTGCTTGTTATCGGGTGCTGAGCGTGGGCCGGGGGCTCCCGCCCCCCCCCTCGGGTTTCATCCCCAGCCCCCCGCTGCCTCTGCCGGGGCACGGTTCTGCTGCGCAGGTTTCCCTGCCAGGGCGCCATCACCAGAGCCTGGCAAGCGGTGGCAGCTTCCTCCGTGCAGGGCAGACGGGGCGTCCCCGGCACGGGGCTCGCCTGCCACAGCCCCCGGCTCTGGAGATGCTCGCCCCAAGCAGCGGAGGATCCGGCTCCACGGCAAGCCGGGATGAACTGGGGCTGCTCCCACGAAGGCTTGCGGCACCTGGTGCTGAATCACTGGCTTTTAATTTCATATGTAAAGAGCCTCATCAGCAGCGCTTCCCCCCAGAGGGGGGTCCAAGTCCCTGGCAGGGTGAACCACCACCCCACGCAGCGATGTGCTAATCCCAGCCCGCCTCTCGTGCGGTGAGCCCGGCTGCTTGGGTTTATGTTATCACCTCCACCTGATAGTACGGCATGCATGGAAACCGCGCCGCCCCCGGCCTCTCCCCGTGGCGTCTGCAGCAGAAATGAAACAGCCAGGAGCATCTGCCAAGCCACCCCGTCCCCCTCCCACTGCCATCTGGGTTAAGAGC